CTGACTCAAATGTGTTCCTTTTTATGAGTGAGTTATATTCCATTGTGTATATGTACCACAACTTCTTCATCAGTTAATCAGTTGATGGACATCTAGGTTGCTTCCATGTTCTAACTACTGTAAATAGTGCTGCAATGAACAATGTGATACACGTGTCTCTTTCAATTTCAAGGTGTATTTAGGAGTGGGATTGCTGGGTCATATGGTGGTTTTATTCCTAGTTTTTTTAACAAATCTCCATACTGTCTTCCATAGTGGCTGTATCAATTTATACTCCCACCAAAGTGCAAGAGCGTTCCCTTTCCTCCACACCCTCTCCAGCATTTTTTGTAGACATTTTGATGATGGCCATTCTGACTGGTGTGGGGTGACAGCTCATAGTTGTTTTGATTTGCACTTCTCTAATAATGAGTGATGTTCAGTATTTTTTCATGTGTGTTAGTCATCTGTATGTCTTCTTTGCAGAAATGTCTGTTTAGGTCTCTGCCCCCCCCCCCCCCCCACTGCCTTTTGATTGGGTTGTTTCTTTTTCTGGTACTGAGCTGTATGCAATGCCTGTATATTCTGGAAATTAATCCTTTGTCAGTTGTTTCATTTGCTATTATTTTCTTCCACCCTGAGGGTTGTCTTTTCACATTGCTCATAGTTTCTTTTGCTGTGCAAAAGCTCTGAAGTTTAATCAGGTCCCACTTGTTTACTTTTGTTTTTATTTCCATTACTCTAGGAGGTGGGCCATAGATCATCTTGCTTTGATTTATGTCATTGAGTGTTCTGCCTATGTTTTCCTCTGAGAGTTTTATAGTTTCTGGTCTTACATTTAGGTCTTTAATCCATCTTGAGTTTTTATCTTTTAAATTTTTTTTTAATGTTTTTATCTTTTTAATCTTTGGGTATGGTGTTAGGAAGTGTTCTAATTTCATTCTTTTACATGTAGCTGTCCAGTTTTTCCAGCACCATTTATTGAAGAGGCTGTCTTTGCCCCATTGTGTATTTTTGCCACCTTTGTCAGAAATAAGGCACCCACAGGTGCATGGGTTTATTTCTGGGCTTTCTACCTTCTTCCATTGGTCTCTATTTCTGTTTTTGTCCCAGAACCATACTGCCTTGATGACTGCAGCTTTGTGGTATAATCTGAAGTCGCGAAGGCTGATTCCTTCAGCTCCATTCTTTCTCAAGACTGCTTTGGCTATGCAGCTAGTATACTATTTGGCTAGTATTTTCATAACATTTTAAATTGTATTTTTTTTATTAAAAATGAGATCAAGATCTTATGTTTAAGAGTAATCTGCATTTCCTTGTCTGAGACCTACCCAGATTCATTGCCTATTTTTCTATTGTGTTCTGTGTTGGAAAAAAACTTTTTCCAGTTTGTCGTTTGTCTTTGTTTCTGTTCTTTGCCATAAAGCATTGTTGTTTTTTAAACATGTATCTATAAACAATTTTTTTAAAATTAATACTTTACTTTTTTGGAACAGTTTAAGGTTCATCACAAATTAAGGGGAAGGGGCAGAGATTTCCCATATATACTTCCTGTCCCTAGGCGTGTACAATCCCAGACCCCATCAACACCCTTATCAGAGTGGTGTAATGGTTACAACTGATGAATCTACACTTGACACATCATGATCATAAAAGTCCATAGGTTATATAATATGGCTCACTCTTGGTGCTGTACATTCTATGCATTTGGACAAATACATAATGACAAGTACCTATCATTATGGTATTACATAGAGTATTTTCGCTGCCCTAAAAATTCTGTGTTCTACCAGTTTATTCCTACTTGTCCCCACCCTGTACCCTCCAGTTCTGCCTTTTCTAGAATATCATATAGTTGGAATCATAACAGCATGTAATCTTCTTACATTCATTTCTTTCACTTAGCAATATACACTTAAGATTGCTCCAAGCCTTTTCATGGCTTGACAGCTCATTGCTTTTTAGTGCCAAATAACATTCCATTGTCTTCAGAACAGTTTATTTACCCATTTACCTACTGAAGGAGATCCATTATTTCCAGGTTTTTGGCAACTATGAATAAACCTATTATAAATATCCATTTGCAGGTTTCTATGTGAATGTAAGTTTTTATCTCCTTTGGGTAAACAGCAAAGAGTATGACTGCTAGATCATTTGGTAAAAAGCATTTTAGTTTTGCATGAAACTACTAGACTGTCTTCGAATGTTGGCAATACCATTTTGCATTCCTACCAGCAGTCAAAGAAAGTTTCTGTTGCTCTACATCTTGTCAGAATTTGGTGCTCTCAGTGTTTATGATTTTGGCTATTAGAATAGCAGCAGATGAGCAGCGGGTATCCCATTGTCTGATTTGCATTTGCCTGATGACATAAGATGTGGAGCATCATTTCATATGCTTATCTGCCATTTAGGTATCTTCTCTGGTGAGGTACATATTAAGGTCTTCAGCACATTGTTTAATCAGGTTTTTAAGTTTCTTCACTGTTGAATTTTAAGAATTCTTTGTATATTTTGGAGAAGAATCTTTTACAGATATCTTTTTTGCAAATATTTCTTCCAAGTCTGTGGCTTGTCATCTCAATCGTTTAACACTGTCTTTTGCAGAGCAGAAGTTTGTGAAGTGAAGTGAGAGTTGCTTAGTTGTGTTCAACTCTTTCTGACTTCATGGACTGTAGCCCACAAGGCTCCTCTGTCCATGGGATTCTCCAGGCAAGAATATCGGAGTGGGTTGCTGTTCCCTTTTACAGGATATCTTCCTGATCCCCTGTATACCCACGGATTGAACCTGGGTCTCCTGCATTGCAGGCAGATTCTTAACCATCTGAGGCACCAGGGAGTATCAATTCTTTCTGAGATTGTGCATTTGGTGGTGTATCATCAGACTTGCTTTGAACCTCTACTGTTCTACCAATTTATAAAAATAGTACATTACATATTTCATCTTTTAAATATTCCTAACATCCTAAATATAAAGATGGTTCCAGTGTACTATGATGTCTTAATATATATCTCATTGTCATTTTGACTTAAAAAAAACGTACAAAGTAAAACACATCGCAGTTTCACTGCCATAATACAATGCCTGTGGCTACTGACCAGGGTGTCCCTGCTGGTGTAATGGACCATCCACCCTTCCTTCACCATGGTGCTGCTCTTCCTCTTTGTGTGCTTGATGGACTGGACCACCCTCATCAGCGGAATGTTATTGCTTGTTGATGGACTAAAAAACATTTTAAATTTATGACAAATATTTATAATGTTAACTTAAAAGATTATCAATACAGTAAACTGATCAAACCCTTTCAAAGATAATTAAACTAAAATTCCTCAAAATACCTTAGGAAGACAAACAATGACTTAAGAAGAAAAAGATAAATTAATCCTGTTATGATGATACATAGTTAATTTATAAAAGACAAAGATGATACTGTTAGGGGAAGCACACTGACAAACTGTCCACCTTGGCCAGGCTCTCTAGTAACCATTTGCATGCGTTGTTTTACAACAGGAGGTCCTGGTAAGGAACACAGAATAAGCCACAACAACCAGAAGAGTTCGGGAAAGGTCAAAAGGAGACACCGCGTGTCCGTCCACTTCCCAGAATCCCTCTCGCTAGCATCCATCTTGGCTGAGTGATGCCTGTGCCACCAGGAAGGACTCTGAGTCAGAATGATTGGCCAAAGACCACCTGGAAACTAATCCCATCACCATAAAACCAGAGACTGCAAGCCACGTGGCAGAGCAGTTCTCCTGGGTACCCTCACCCTCCTGCTCTCCATCCGGGTGCCCTTTCCCAGTAAAATCTCTTGCTTTGTCAGCACGTGTCTCCTCGGACAATTCATTTCCGAGTGTTGGACAAGAGCCCGCTCATGGGGCCCTCGAGGGGGGCCCCCCTTCCTACAACAATACTGTAAGTCATCATTATTTGTCATCAATATTTCTGAAGGGCCACAGGACATAAGAAAGCAATGAACAGAGCAGAAAGAATCCTCTCTGGTTGGCAAATCTGGAGCCTGAGAGAAGGTCTCATTTGGGATTGCTGCAAAAAAAATCATACCCTAGATAACATGACAAATTAATAAATTCATAACAAGACAAAATTCAAATATCAAATTCCATTATTCATGTTGTCAGCAACAATTACTAACAGAAGATACTGAAAGAAAAATGATTTAAAGGTATTAAGAAAGAAAAAATAATAAATAATGAAATGAGTCAGATCAGGTAATACTAAAACATAGGTCAGAAACAGTGCAGCTGGAGAGAAAAGAGCACCTTGGCAGAAGTGTGTGAAAAATACAGTGCTTTTCAATTGAGTCTCAAACAGACACTTGCTCTTAAAACTGTGACGTGTCCATGATTAGGAAACCAGCTTAGTTCTCTCAAGTCTCCAATTTAGGCAAACATTTAGTTAATAATGATAATGATAATAATAGCTATAATTCAATGATAAGACAAACTGAATAAATGACTCAGTCATGTGAGACTGACAAATGACCCATTTTCTCTAAATACCTATTTGCTGCCAATGAAAAACAAAACCTGCTTGAAATGTTAACACTGTATCACAAAGTAGTATATCTTATAGGCTGTATCTAAAAAAACTGAATTTCTATAAATATAGGAGGATATATAAGTCTCATAATCCAGGAGCATTTTTACAAAGTGCTAACAGATGAATTGCAATATGAAAACTGCCCCCAAATTCATCACCATCATCTTTGTGCAGCATTCTCAGGTATAATTCTTACTGAGGTTTGCAACATTAGCTAACATGCCTGTGTGAAGAAACTTGTTGCTTTACCTGATAGTCCAATGCTGGCACTTTGTGAAAGACTGCTACACAGCTAGGTATCATTATCTAGACTGTATTTAAATAAAGCATTTTTCTTTTTAAGAAAACAGGATTCTCATACCTTCCCATCTTGAGTGGACAGCAAGAGGAATATAATTTATTTTGGAAAAATACTGTGGTACACATAGAAGCACTAGCCACAATTTAACTGATTTTAAATTACATTTTTGGGGGTGGAATGAATTGGGAGATTGGGACTGACACGCATATAGCACTGTATATGAAACAGGTAACTAGTGAGAACCGACTGTAAGGCACAAGGAACTCTGCTCAAGGCTCTGTGGTGATCTAAATGAGAAGGGAATCTAAAACAAGAGGGGATACATGTCTATGTGTAATTGATTAACTTTGCTATACACCAGAAACTAACACAACATTGTAAAGCAACTATATTTCAAGAAAAAAATTTTCTTTTTATAATTACATTTTTAGGTTCCACTTAAAGAGATATGATTTGTTCTTTTTTAACAGAACTCCTGGACTGACCTTGCATTTGGAAATAGCTTGCAGTCCATACCCATGCATTACCTGATTGTTTTAACAGCTTCTTCGTCTCTTTCCACATCAAGATCAGATGGATCCAAGAAAAACATTTTATCTTCTGGGGGAGATGGTTCTTCTGTGTCATCCAAACCCCGACTACCATCACTGTTCATGTCACTACTGTCTACATCCATTGGTATATCTGTATCTGTTCCCAAAGTAGATGGTTCTGGCAAAGTTTTAAATGAATTCAGAATTTTACATTAATGGAATATCAATACACCTAAATAGAGACAGTATCTCAAATGTGAAAACAAGTTTTAGAATTCTTAAATGAAATTACAGAAAAATATTTTTATGATTCAAGATAAAGAAATATTCCTTAGGATGACAGAAATTTAAAAACCATAAGGCAGAAAATTAATTTGATTGCATCAATTTAAAATTTTGATATGACAAGATACTAGAAGCAAAGTAAAAGGTTAGCCACTATATTATAGACCTGGTCAGCTGATTTTCCACAAGTGTCTAAGACAACACAAGGAAAAAAGAACATTCTGTTCAGTATATGGTCATAGGACAAATGGGTACTTATATGTAAAAAAGGAAATTGGAAGTTTTCCTTAAATCAATTACAAAAATTAAAGTAGATCACAGACCTAAATATAAGAGTTTAATCTTATAAAACTCTTAAAAGAAAACACAGGTGTAAACTTTGGGATCATGAGTTAGGAAAAGCCTTCTTAGATATACCACCAAAAGCCTAAATGACAAGAAAAAACAAATAAATTTGACTTCATCAAAATTTAAAACTTCTCTGCTATAAATGACACCTCAAAGAAAGTGAAAAGGCAGCGCACAGAATGGTAGAAAGTATCTGCAAATCATGTATCAAATAAGTGACTTCTATCCAGAATATTTAAAGAATTCTTACAACTCAAAAAAAAGATAAATAAATAACCTAGTTAAATGGGCAAAGGACCAGAAGAGATATTGCTCTGAAGCAGATGTAAAAATGACCAAGTATATAAAAAGATACGCAATGTCAGTTAGCCATCTGGGAAATGCAAATCAAAGCCATAATGAGACATCACTTCACACTCACTAGGACGGTGACAACCAAAATGACAGACAATTAACAAGTGGTGGAAAGGATACGTAGAAATGAGAATCCTCATACACTGCTGGTGGGAATGTAAAATGGTATGGCTGCTTTTGTAAACAGTTTGGCAGTCCTCAAAATGTTAAACAGAGCTACCATATGACTCAACAGTTCCACTACTGGCTATCTACCCAAGCTGAACGGAAACACATGTAGTCAATTGTACTCAAATGTTCATAGCTGCCTTGTTCTAATAGCTCCAAAATGGATAAAACTCAAAGGACTATGGCTGACTGGTGAATGAATGAATCAAGTGTGGAACATTCAGGCAGAGGAATATTACTCATCAATAAAAAAAACAATGAAGTATTGATACATGCAACATGGATGAACCTTGAAAACATTATACTAAGTGAAAGAAATTAGTCACAAAGACTACACATTGTATGATTCTATTTATATGAAATGTCTAGAAGGGACAAACTAATACAGATAAAAGTTGACTTAGTGGTTGCCAGGGGCTAGCAGGGAAAAGGGGATGGGAAGTGACAACTAATTGGTATGGAGTTCTTCTCAGGATGATGAAAATGCTCTAAAATTAGGCTTTGGTGATGGCTGTATAACTGAGAATAAACTAAATGTGTGAACTGTACGGTATACAACTCATACGTCACTAAAGCTGACAAAGAATTAGTAGAATATATAACACGTGAACAGGTAATTTAGAGAGAAAAAAAACTAATTAAACAGTAAATACCTGAAAGAGATAAATGAACACTAAAATAAATATAAATGGTATTTTATATCCATTTGTGAAAAGGTAGACAGGACAAAAATACATGAACTAGCTAAATCTAGAAAAGACTTCAATCATATGGAAAAGCTGTATTAATTCTGAGCAACTGAAATGAAGAAACCAATCATGCTCTGTCAACGGTCTTAAACAGCAACCACAGAAAACATACCACATGAGAAAATGCTAAACTCTTAAGGAGATTAATTTCCACTCTTATGCTTTTCCTCCTATATCCATCCTCCAGGGAATCTTCCTAACCTAAGGATCAAACCTAGGGCTCCTGCACTGCAGGCAGATTCTTTACCATTTAAGCCACCAGGGAAGCCTTTCCTATAGAACACAGTTCAGTTCAGTTCAGTCGCTCTTTGCGACCCCATGAATTGCAGCACGCCAGGTCTCCCTGTCCACCACCAACTCCCGGAGTTTATTCAAACTCATGTCCATCAAGTTGATGATGCCATCCAGCCATCTCATCCTCTGTCGTCCCCTTCTCCTCCTGCCCCCAATCCCTCCCAGCATCAGGGTCTTTTCCAATGNCCAAGGGACCATCCACACAAAGATGAGCACAATAAAAGACTGAAACTCTATGAACCTAACAAAAGCATAAGATATCAAGAAGAGGTGGCAAGAATATGCAGAACTATACAACAAAGATCTTCATGACCCAGGTAAACACAAAGGTGTGATCCCTCACCTAGAGTCAGACATCCTGCAGTGTGAAGTTAAGTGGGCCTTAGGAAGTGTCATTATGAACAAAGCTAGTGGACATGATGGAATTCCAGCTGAGCTATTTCAAATCCTAAATGTGATGCAGTGATAGTGCTGCACAAAATATGCCAGCAAATCTGGAAAACTCAGCAGTGACCACAGGACTGGAAAGTGTCAGATTGCATTCCAATCCCAAAGAAAGGCAATGCCAAGGAATGTTCAAATTACTGCACAATTGCACTCATCTCACACACTAGTTAAGTAATGCTCAAAATTCCTATAGAACTACTTATACTCAATTTTTCACTAGCCATGTAATATTAAGGAAAAATTATGCTGCAAGTTTGCTCCTTTCTCCCAAAAAAGGTAATCACTTTGAGTGATATAATCTTGAAAAGGGGGGGCGGGAGGATAAAAAGAGCAAGTATGTTCAGCTAAGTGATTATTTGATGGAAAAAGAGAAGTGAGACAGTACAGTGACTTCTAAAGACTATGAACTTCGATGCCAGACCACACAGGTTCAAATCCAGACTCTACCACTGCTGGTTGTAACTCTGAGGCAAATTATCTAATGTTTCTGTGCCTAAGTTTCCTCATCTCCAAGTCCTTATCTCAAAAGGTTGTTCTCAGGTTTCAATGTCAATATGTTTAAAATGTTTACAGTAATGCCTGGCATACATTAAGTAGTCAATAAATACTAGAAATATGAAATAGTTCTAGGGACAACAGCAGGGTTATAAAGTAAGTTTTGCTAGGTCTAAAGATAAATAAGAATACGCACCACCATTTGCCACATTTGACTACAGAGTGGTAGGTGGTTAAAGGAGACCAGAAGGCATAAATAAAAGTATACTATTAGTGATATCTGTATTTTGCTTGATTACTAAATCAGAGAAAAGTCAAAGAAACAAAGTAAACAAAATAAAATATCCAAATATAACCTTATATAAAGATAATACACAAAAGAATTGTGATCTTCTCTGGAAATTAAGAAAAAGACTTTTACCTCCATTGAAAGTAACCTCTCCAAGGCAGTCTCTTGGTACTTTAGATGCACATCGTTTATGGCAGTTGAATTTACAATCTAAAATAAAATATTCATCTTATTAATTTATGTAAAAAGTCAGGTAGTATCAGATATGATTAAAGACGTTCTTTACTCACACATATAGTATTATTAATAATGATGATGAAATAATAAATATTTCCTCTATAAGAACTCAGGTCTTGGATTAAAGGTCTGGTTTCATATTCTGATACCACCTCTTAATAGTTGGTTAATCCCTCAGCGCTCAGTTTCTTTATCTGTAAAATGAAGTCTACACCACTTGTATAACACTTTGCCAAATGTTGCTGCAGATCCATGCTTCCCTCCCTTACGTCACATTCTTCTTTCCACACCCTCCTTAAACAGTTTCTCAGGCTGATTAAATTCCTTTCCAACATATGTCAGGCAGTTACTTTCAATTCCTAATTATTAGGACCTGGTACATATGCAGAAAAGAAATTGCAATGCTACAACCATTTATTAGGAATTAGTAAGAGCTTTCCCAGACAACCATGTAAGAAAGGACTGAGCTTCTCACGCACAAGGTCCTTCACCTGTAGTATATAATGGCTCTCTTCAGCCTGCAAGAACCTCAGAGCTGATTGCACTGCAGATGAGTGTCAGTCAGGTCCAAGTTGTTCAATACCACTGTGTAACTCATGGTTCTCAAACTGTGGTCACCAGGCCCGGAGCAACAGCATCTTTTGAGATGCACGATCTTTTTAGGGCCCCACCCCTAATCTACTACGTCAGCAGCTCAGGGAGTGAGGTTGAGAAACAGGTATTTTAATGACTTCTTCAGTTAACATTAAAACTGAAACCACTGCTATAACTACTCTCTATCACCACCTTCAAAATAATTCTACCAACAATAAATGGGTAAAAATAATTTCAAGTCCTCACTTAGAATAATTTTGTAACTCCTATAATTAAAGAACACTCTTGGTATCATGCCAGTAGAATACAGAAAGGTCATTATAAGAAAAAGCTCTATGAAATTAATAATGTGGTGGATGAGAAAACCTGCATTATGTAATAATGTCTTCAAAAAGGTGAGGCCCTAGGAAAATTCATGTGACACTAATATTAACACTTGCATACATTTAAATATTTGTTTTTTATCTCATGAGGTTTGCAAATTGTGAAAATAACAAGGCTTCCCTTTCCCTCTGAAATGTAAAGCCAAGTTTACCATCCATATGCAGCAAGTATGTAGTTCTAATGGTAGTCATTTATACTTCTCTTTATTCCTGCCCATGTTTCTTATTATTTGTGTTTTCTTTTATCCTATATATGCTTATATAAGCTGCCCTGAAATTTTAATATAACAAAGTGGAAAACAGATGAATGAATAAATTAATTGCTCTTGTATATTTTTTCTCAAATGATCCTGCGTAACTGTTTGAACTATTTTTTTTCTTAGCTTAACAAGTGAACGAAAATGTCTATTTTACTTCTGAAGTAAAAATACAAGGGTTACTGAATTACATTATGACTTTTTGATACTTTCTGAACCAATATAAGCATAAAACATTATTCTTTTAAAGCTCTAAGAAATTAAACTACTAAGCCAGTCATATAGTTAACTGATTTTATTCAAAACTCATTAATCTACATACATATTTTATTTAATCATTCTTTTAAAAAGTACTGTGCTTTTTTGCATGCAGTTTTAGGATGTTTCTGTTCTACTCAGCAGAAAGGCATATTTACTACTTTCACTAAGATTATCTGCTGGCCAGAATTTGTACATCTGTTCTTAATGTTCTTTCCTAAAACATTCTTTAGTGGCTGCTTGCCAATACACTTCAGTGTTGATATTTAAAGTATTAATTTATATATTAACTCATATTCAAAAGTAAGCTGTTGAAATAAAATTTCAACATTTAATTAAGCTTGCCTGATGGTTATTAAATACTGGCAACAAATGTACAATGTATTCTCTATTTGATATTCTCCTATGTAGCCATATATTGCTAAGAAAAGTTTTCTTATATACTTAAAAATTAAATTTACACATAAATTATTTAATTCAACACTGTAAACAGGACTTATTGTCGCAAAGATCTCAATTCCAATGTTTCACCTAGATAAAACTAGGTAATTCAATTCCACAAATACTTTTACATAAAAAGTATGATATCAAGAAGTAATGATAATTACTGTAATCACATGAAAAATAAGTACATAAGATTATAGACAGATTACTTATATCTTATCTTGGCTTAATGCCTAATAACAGATTTAAACTCTCTATTTTGGTTTTCACATAATTGTGCAGCACTGTTGAGAAGATGCGAGACAAAAAGATAAAAGCATCTTTTAAAAGCATTAAAACATTACATAACTACAGGAAACCATTACTCTATTAAAAACCTAGTTCATTAGAGATGTTTTTGGAATTCTATGACAATGTTTTGGGTTAGTAACCAAATATAGATGGTCCCCATTATAATTCCAGTGGCTTCTACTATTTCTGCCTGTTTCAGTGTGATTGTTTAAAATGACAATTTTGGTACAGCTCTCACAGCCACATAATGAAAACAACAATAAAACTCTTGTTAACATGTTGATGTGTGTGTGTATGAATACTTAATGGAAAGTTCAGTTCAGTCAGGTCTGGCTCTTTGCGACCCCATGGACTGCAGCACACCAGGCCTCCTGTCCATCACCAACTCCCAGAGCTTGCTCACTCATGTCCACTGAGTTGGTGATTCCATTTAATGGAAAGAGGAGGGCATTATTTTATATTTTGGGTAGTGTCTGGCTCTGGAATCACAAAGACTTAAGCTCAAATATTAGCTTACCTGCTCACTAACGGTTCCATATTGACAACTGTTAAGCAGCCACATCTCATGGATTCAGATTCTAGTTTTTCTGTTTACACTAATTTTTCTTTAGCATAGCTCCTGGTACAGAATACACATGTTGCAGATACCAGTCATTGTCAATAGATACACATATATGCATATTTCTTTTTTCTTTTTTAACTATGAGACCAATTTATTTGCTTAAGCCTTCTGAAGTAAAAAGTATTTTATGTTATAATTGCTAACAAAAACAAATATGAATTTTACTTCAGAAAATCATGCAATCCTACCTTTACACTGCATTCCCTGGCGAAAGAGGCCTTTCAGTAACCGCTTGCAGTACTGACATATCGTGGGACGGGTGTATGAGTGAACAGCAAACGTGTGTGGGACTTTCACCCTGCACATGACCATTTTTTCCATCCAGATTGGGCGACCACTCCAAGAAGGAATTCTCTTACTAGGTTCTTGGTGAACATGTGACTAAAACATAAGTAATTTCCATAATGTAAGTCAATATTAAAAACAAAGTTTTCAGATCAGGGTTTGACCACAGAAGTCATTTATTTCAAACACTAAAGCCACAAATAAAAAAATGTGGATCTCAGCAGTTTCCTTGGAAGCTTAACTTACCAACCCTCGAATAAGTGTAGAATTTTTTTTTGCTATTATTTATGCAAGGTATTTTCATCCTCACAGACATGTATCCATTGATTAACTATTATTTGCCAGGCACATATGACATTTCACAAATAAAAAACAAAACCTTAAAATGAGTTTATAACATGTTCAAATTCCTTACCAAGAAATTAATCACAGGAAAATTAAGTAAATTCAGAAGGGTTAGTGCTGCTCATGTTGAGCTACTGAACACAACGTCTGAAAATATTTTAAAACAAGTCTTAGTTTTTTAAATCTGTTTTAATAAATACTAAAGTATCTTTCATTAATAATGGCAGGTGCAAATTAAAACAACTTTACCCTTAGTAATAATGCTTTAAGAAGTTCCTTGATATTTTAAGTATATTCCAGTTATTTGGTTTTTTCCCTCTCAGGTGAGCAAAAAGGAAAATTAAAGAAGGTGTTGGTTAAAAACTTTTGTGTCGTTTGAGGGATAAATGGACTTTTAAACTATGACCCTTTTTATGTATACAAAGGAAACAATCAATTTAATTCCAGGTCAGATCAATATAGCTCATCACATTCATTCAACATTCACTGACTGTCCTATACTATGTATTGGAAATATGAAAATGAATACAGTCCATATTCTCAAGGACAAAACCCAAATACCTAACTGCCATCTAGATGCACCACAGATCTTGCTGTAGCTGCTTGCATCCTTCACTGCCAGGACTGCCTTCTCTAACTAGTAATGTGGGTAACTCAGAATGGAGTCACTGTACATTGATATGTTCAACCAACAGAAGCCAAAAGAAATAAAAAGACAGAGAAGTGTACAGGAGAAATGAGAGGAGAAGAAAATAAAGGGCTTTTTTTTCTGAAGGAAGTAGGAGGAAGGAAAAAAGAAAAGGACTGACCACTGGAGGAAACACTATAAAAACAACACAAATACAGCCCCTGCAGGATAGTTTTTCAATAATGTGTAGCCAGAAACGTTCTTAAGCAAATTACGAAGCAGTTAAAGAAAAGTACAAAAAGAATGTTAAAACCCAAACCAAACTTGCAGACTTCAGCTGTCTATGGTGTCCTGCTCTAGCCTGGCCCACCCCTCCTCCACGTACAGAGCACCGTCAGCAAAAGGAACACTGAAGTGATTCCTCAGAGCTGATAAAGCAGCCAGCAGGAACTAGAAACGGATGCCTTCAGCTTTTGCTTATCCCTGGGCCCCTAGTCTAGTGGTGTCTCAACACTGTGTCTCTCTTGCTTCTGCTTCAACCACTTAGTCTGTGTCTCAAGCTTAAAACATACACATGGAAAGACTGACCTGAGTTATACCTGGGTCTTCTACTTAGCAGTTCAGTGATTCTTAACCTTTTCCCCATCTGAACACCCTTGGGCAGACTGCAATCTAACCAATAATAGTGGTTTACCATCTACTGAGTGAAGAAGGCAAGAAAGGTACAACAGACTTAATCAGCATTTGGAGGATGGAGAATGCTGGTAGAATTGCCTAGAGCACTTGGCTAAAACGGGATCAGTGAGGGTAACTAGAATTGAGTGGACGCTCTTTTCTTACATTGCTTTAATGGCCCTCTTTACAAATTACTTCTTAGCTTAAACTCTTTCTTTCTTATTGATGTGTAGCCAGAAATTTTCTGAAAGTAATTTAATTATTTCCACAATGTGTGTTTAAACTAATTTTGGCTGAATTGCTCATAAAAACTTCGTAACAATATTGCCAACTCTCAATCATATAAAATAATAAAGGCAATATAAAAAATTTAAAGGGGGCAATTCCTCAATTATATATATATTCGACTTTGGAAGATTATTCAGTGAAAGAAGTATCTCCACTTTTAATGTGCATACTTAAGAATCAAGAATTTCTTTCTACCTTGATTCTGTACTGCGGAAATTTTCCCAAATGGGGAACGCCCCGGTGGTCCAGTGCTTAGGACTTTATGCTTTCACAGCCAAGGATGCAGGTTTGATTCCTGGTCAGGGAACTAAGATTCTACAAGTCACACAGTGGGGCAGGAAAAAAAAATTTTTCTCCTTAATGCAATGAGGTGAACACTAATCTCTCTTGTCTCCAAACAGCCATCACTCAATATTGGTTTCTCTAAACGTGGTGGTTCCATTTTAACCAAATTCAATCAACAGTCTGTTTTCTTCTGCCTCTACACCTCTTTACCTGATTCCCTTTATGCTGATTTCATACACTGACAGAAACTGCCTCCTTACATGACAACCCCAGGGTCAGATTCAAAGGCTTCTATTCGAAACTGGCCTTCTATCATGTCAGTAGTCAGTGAAGTTTAATACTTTGACTCCTTAGAAATTTTTCTTCCTCATGCTTTATCTATGAAATCAAGACAACAGCTCCGTGCCTGCCAGGACTGGGGTGAGGATTACACAAGAAGAGATAAGTAAAGCATCCCAGCATGAAGACTGGCACCGGACAAGTTACGAGGCTCTTCCTGCACAGCTGCTGAGAGCGAGCTTTTCTCTAAACCCGGTTCAGACTCAGGGTGCTCCCAGCTCTTCACTATCTCCTTCACTCCTTTACACTGTCCTCTTTTACCACTCTTCCTTCCCTCTGATCTTCCTCCATGAGCTCTCAGCTCTTCTTACTGTATGTACCTTCATTTTTGAGACTGTATTCTTTACTACAGTTTCCACTTGTTCTAAAACACTCTGCACAATCCATCCAATTTAAACATACCACTCTCCTTACACTTCTCTAAAGAATTTTCATCTTCCGGGTAAAATAAAAATGAATAAATTAAAACTGAATACCTTATTCATCTGCTTGGTCCTGTCATTTCCTAATCTTATAATACTCAGTGGGTATGGCTGACAAAGCAGTACTGTTTGCGGGGTTCTTAAGACAACATACATTCATCCTACAGTCCCCAATTCGAGCCAGGTTTCCCTGTGTAGCTTGTGTGTAAAAGGCATTAATCTTTCCCTAAACTTTCGCATGCGTTTATAGTAACTCCTCATTCTCAGTTCTAACGCTACAGCACTCATCTTATACTTTAAAAATGTCACGCTAGGGCTATGCAATATGGAAACGTGAGATTTTTGTGAAAGAATTTCAGAAGCTTCTATTTTAGATCCTCAATTTAGTGAAATCTTGTGATGAAGCAGTCAAGACAACAGTCCAATGGCTTGATTTTGCCATTAATATACAGAAGGCCAAAGAGGTTTCAGAAATAACTAAATTAAGACTGTAATCTACAGATGGAAATCATTTAAAGTAGTACCAAATAAGTAAGACAGTTATTTCTTTATTCCCCAATCTACTACATTTACCCTTGAGGGGTACAATATAAGCGGAAATATCATGGATTTACACATAAGCAGATCTGGGTTGAATTCTAATATTGCTTGCTAATTTCTTCTGTGACTTCAGTCAAGTCACTTGATAATTCTGAGTGCCAGCTATCTCACAGTATACAGACCTCACTGGAATATTCTAAAGATCAGTGATGTCACTCAAACACTCATTCATTTATGACTGAGTGACCACTAAAGTACAAGGTATGGAGCTGGGCATGGTGGGGCAAAGAAAGACATGAGTACTGTCTTCTCTAAGAAGATAAACTCCTTGAGGACAATCTAATATACAAAGGCTGTGATACTATGGTACAATGCTATACACACCATCAAGGAGGTTTGAAAAGTGGTATGGCATTCAGAAAAATAACTTCTAGGTAAAGGGGAATCTAGGTCTAGAAAAATCACATAGGATAGATATCAACAAGAGCAAATACGGGGGGGGGGGGGGGAGAAAGGATGTGTTCAGGGAACGCTGAATACTATAGATTGTCGGAAATGCAGAATATACAGAGGTTTCCTTGAAAGAAGTGATCTAATTGGTTGTTGACTATTAAGCTGTAGTGAAGTGTAGAGAGTAGGAGTCAGGATACTGGTCAGGAGACTGATCTTGTGGTTCAAGTGATAAGGTGATCTCAAAGTATACAACATGCTACTGGTCAGCCCTGATTACAGTGATACATTTTAAGTTTCTTCTTTTTTTTTTTTTTCTTACCGAAACTGTTTATCTAATATGGAGGAAACAATTAGACAAACACAGATAGTGCATTCTATAGGATGATTGGCCTAGAGTCTTCAAAAATAAAGTATCAAAAAGAAAAAAATGGTAGAGAACTATTCTAAATTAAGAGGGACTGAAATGATGTAAGTAAACGCAATCTGTTATCCTTGTCAGTTGTTTCATTTGCTTTTATTTTCTCCCATTCTGAGGGTTGTCATTTCACTTTGCTAATATTTTCCTTTGTTGTTATACACAAAAATAAGCTCAAAATAGATTAAAGACCTAAATGTAAGACCCAAAACTCTTAAGAGGAAAACACAGGCAGAACACTCTCTGATGTAAATCACAGCAAGATCCTCTATGATCTACCTCCTAGTGTAATGGAAATAAAAACAAAAACAAATGGGACCCACTTAAGTTTCTTAAATGTAGGAATGCTACTGTTCTTTAGTATATAACTTATGATTTAGGATGAAACATAAAGAGTAAGTAGAAACATAAAGAGTAAATGGTAAAAATGCCCTCTATTATCTTAAGAGTACGTACCTCTTCAGTGGGAAGGGCTACATAATCAGTCTGCAGGGGTCTTGGAACTGAGAGGCCAGGTCCTGGCAGGGATACATTTGAGAGACGTCTCTTTCTTACACCACTACAGTTATTTGGAATCTTGAAGGCACATCGTTTATGATAATTTAATCCACAGCCTAAATATATTTTAAAAGGTTAAAAAAAAAGGTTTTTAACTTAACCATCTAAGTGCATACATTAAAAAAACAAACTGGGGCTTCTTTTATTTTCTCTGGCAGCAGTAGCTATCCTAATGAAGAACCCAGATAACAAGCTAAGAAGAATAGGAAATGTGTAGAAAGGGTTATTTAGAAAAGTTAGGTTACCTAAAGCAGTGGTTTCTTCAAGTGTGCTCCCCAAGGCAGCACCCAAGAATTTGTTAGAAATCTAATAAATTATTGGGCTTCACCTCAGACCTACTGAATCAGAAACTTTGGGGATGGGGCCTTGCAAAGTAATGTTTCAGCAAGTCCTCAAGGTGATTCTGATACACAGTGAAGTTTGAGAACCACTGGCTTAAGTAACTTCAGCAAACTGTGGACCATGACATGTGAAAATTACATGCAATTCAGATTTCAGTGCTCATAAATAATTTTATTGGAATACAGCACTCTCACAGTTTACCACCTGCCCATGGCTATTTTCATGTTACAATGGCAAAGTTATGCCACTGCAACTGAGACGACATGGCCAGCAAAACTTAAAATCCCAGCATGCCCCCTCTGGTCCTTTAGAGAACAAGTTTACTGACTAATCAGATGTGCACCTGCATCCTACCCCCCTGGCAATTCTAACACGGAACCACCAGATTGCTCTGCTTCTAAACCTTGGGTACTAACTAGTCACTGACCAATGATCTTATTTTTTCATTGATGATTAAAGAACGCAAATGTGAAAACTTATTTCAAATTATTAAAAATTTAGAACACATACCTTCACATTTCAGTCCCTGGCGTACCAATCCCCAAAGCATCTCACCACAGTAATCACAAAAAGTCGGTGCTTTGTAAGAATGCACATAGAGAGTATGCGGACGAATCTGGAAGTCTTCTACTGTGGCCAAAGCTTTAAAAATAAGGGAAATATTCAAATAAACCCTATACTTGCAGTTGTGATAAGATTAAGAACATCGACCATAGTCATTTATGTCAAAGCATGCAGAATTTTTCTTTTTCTGAAACTTTCATCTTTCGTCGATAAAAAATTATTTTAAGACTAATATCGTGGCTTTTGAACTTTATTTTAGGAAACTGACCAATTAAAATAATTTGATCTCTAAAAGTATGTATTTTGACCTCCAAAAGCATTTTCTTGGAGTTAGATTGCAAATAATTGTCAGATTTATTTTAGCTAATTAAAAACTATTTAACTTATAATGTACTGGGAAATAGAATACTAAATTTTAAAAAATTATAGAACTTAACATTAACTTATAGCAATGTTTCTGGGAGAAATGCACTCAGTCCTAATTCAGGATCCCAGGATACACTCTGTCTGTCCTCCACAGTCCCAGTGTATAGGAAAAAGACTCTTCTCCCCTCTGTGTGCAACTCAACAAAGCAGATGCATCCATCATCAGACATCCTTTCAACATCACCTGCAAGTCACTAAGGATATCCCTGTGGGCTGATGTAGGCTCCAGAGCAAAGAAGGAATAGATAATGAGCATGACCACTAGGAAGATAGGGAGTAGAGCCCCTCTACAATGAAAAGGAAGACAAGGGCTGAGATGTGTTCAGAATTTGGGGTTGTAGTGGAGAAGATAAAGAGTAAGGATTAGAGACTAATAAGGAAAGGTGGTGACCAGAAAGAATCTCAAGACTACAAAGATGAAACTGGGAAGAGGGAAAAAAAATGGTGGCAGGATGCTGGACTCTTGGCCTGGCCTTTCTTCCTTTCCTTCTCTCCCATCTCTTTACTTCTTTTTTCCGTCCCTCTATGTCTCTCCCTCCTTCTTTCCTTTGCTGCCAAACAGAAGTTCTACAGGCCTACTACACACATTCTTTATCCCTTGATACTTCTCACTAGCTATCCTGCCCACCTGCTGTTGGATGAGGTAAGAAATAGCAGGGGCTAAGGAACAACGGATGGCAAGAATGGGTGAGAGGGGAAAGGAGAGAATAAGAAAATGTCCACGAAGAAAAAGAAGAGAAGGAGCATTGTTTAAGTCATGGAATCAACCAATATTGCAATTTCCTCTTCCACATCTTTATTATTTCTTTTTTTTTCTTGATTTTCTTCTCCAAATGGTCACAGAAACGGGAAAAGGAAACAGAATTTCAGTGTAATTGTTTAATTTCCTTGGAGGAATATAAAGGAAATATAAAAGAGGAATACAGTCCTCTTCCAATTCAATTGATAATTCCCTTAGCTTAGTAACACTTCAATTCAGGGCTTATTTTCCCAGGGGCTTCCCTGGTGGCTCAGATGGTAAAGAGCCTGCCTGCAATATGGGAGACCTGGGTTCCCTCCCTGGGTTGGGAAGGTGCCCTGGAGAAGGAAATGGCAACCCTCTCCACTGTTCTTGCCTGGAGAATTCCATGGACGGAGGAGCCTGGTGGGCTATGGTCGCAATGAATTGGACCCAACTGAGCGACTAACACTTTGTTTCTTATTTTTCTATTTTCTCATCTGTGATGTAACCTTCCTGAAAGTAAAATCATATAATAACCTTATTATAGATGAAAGAAGTAAGCAACTATAGTATTTACAAAGTATAACTGAATATAGCATTTAGTTGAAGTCTACCTCCCCCCCACCAAAAAAAGGCTCTTTTGGAGGGGGAAAAAAGGCAACAAAATAAAAGAAACTACTTACCTGAAAGAACAACTTCTACTAGGTCTCCTTCATGTATTTCATCTGCTGAGGTAATGAGCTGCAAAATATTTTCTGAGTTCATATCATGGCGAAAAAGAAGAATTTTGTCATACATGCCAAAGAATCCACACTCTGGAAACTGTAGGAAAACAGTCCTGTATCAGTATACTCATTTCATAAGTAAATGTCTCAATCTTATGTAATAATTTTAAATGTACTTTTGTTGTTGTTGTTCAGTTGCCAAGTCATGTCCAATTCTCTGCAACCCCATGAACTGCAGCATGCCATGCCTCCCTGTAACTCATCATCTTCTGGAAATGCTATTTGCCAACAATTTTATTAATATCCAAAAAAGATCAACCATGTGCTCAAGCTCCTTGGTTAAATCTCAAGTTCAAAAATATAAAAGTAAGCAATATATATAATTACTGATATCTTAAAACATTTGTCTCGAATGGATGAGGAAGCTGTGGTACATATACACCATGGAATATTACTCAGCCATTAAAAAGAATTCATTTGAATCAGTTCTAATGAGATGGATGAAACTGGAGCCCATTATACAGAGCGAAGTAAGCCAGAAAGATAAAGACCATTACAGTATACTAACACATATATATGGACTTTAGAAAGATGGTAACGATAACCCTATATGCAAAACAGAAAAAGAGACTCAGATGTATAGAACAGACTTGTGGACTCTGGGAGAAGGCGAGGGTGGGATGTTTCAAGAGAACAGCATTGAAACATGTATATTATCTAGGGTGAAACAGATCACCAGCCCAGGTTGGGTGCATGAGACAAGTGCTCGGGCCTGGTGCACTGGGAAGACCCAGAGGGATCGGGTGGAGAGGGAGGTGGGAGGGGGGACTGGGATGGGGAATACATGTAAATCCATGGCTAATTCATTTCAATGTATGACAAAAACTACTGTAATGATGTAAAGTAATTAGCCTCCAACTAATAAAAATAAATGGAAAAAAAAAATTTGTCTCTTAGAAGTGCAGAATTTCTTTACTCAGTTATTGATGAAAAATAAAATCTTCAACTCAGTGCTATTCTTACAAAGACTGAGAGATTAGCAGTCATTCCTGTCCTTTAGAACTGAGCTTCCCATCTAGTCAACTACCAGCCACATTGCTGTTGTTCAGTATGGACATGTGTAGTTATTTAAATTTAAGCTAATTAAAAATAAATAAAATTAAAAGTTGAGTTTCTCAGTCTAGCCATATTCCCTGTGCTCAATCACCACGCTAATCTAGCTGAGTAATCAACTGTCATTTATGCTTCCCCTTAACTTTTACATCTTGATGGTTTACCAAATTTAATATCTTCTTTATGGAGTCAACTCACTGTATCCTCTAAATAAGATATCCTGACCTTGGATGATATTTCCTTGTTCAGATCCAGTTGGTTTTGTAACGAGCAGTTTGATCATATAACTCATCAGGTTTTCCTGTTTACTTTGCCCCCTGAAAAAGGGCAGGCCAAACTTGTAGCCCACTTCTACATCAATTAAGGATCTTACAGCATATATTTTAGGTGCAGATACCAACCTAGTTCATCTTACTTTATGGCCTTAATTTTCCCATTAAAAATTCTTATATAAATCTCTAAAAAGGTCTCAATTCTGGGGGAAAAAGTTAAATTTTTAGGAACTGAAAATAATGACTTAATTAGAAATTTTAAGATTTACTTGCATTTTAAGAAACCTAAGTTAATAAAGTGTAGAAATATTTAGAATTTTTATAATACTATATCTCTTTTCAATATTTGAGTTATGGATATTTTTATAACTTCATAACATGCTGTAAACAGATCTAGCAGCATAAGAATTTTCCACTGAAAAGAGTAATACAGAATCAAAAGTTATTTTCATTAAATTTTAACTTAAAATTTAAGTTTACTAAATTTTATTTAATTATTAAATTAGAAAACATCTAATGGAGAGTAAAACTGAGTTGCAACTAAAATACAACCTTAGTTGCAACAATTCTTAAGAATTAATAACAGAAGGACTCCATATTCCATCTTTATAAAATCTCTAACAAAATATTTGTATGAATAAAACTCATTTTAAAAAGTCAAAATTTTTTTTTACATGTCTTGTAAGTGTATAGTCCTATGGTGTGTAAAGGTAAGAGTCAGTCCTTGCCTTCCAGGGGCTTACAATCTGTAGAAAGAGAAATAAAACAAATATATAACACGATAAGAGAAATGCCAAGAATGAAAAAACCCTAGAAGAGGGAATAAAAAAGACAGACTATCCCTTTAAGAGTGCTATTTGAGCAGAATCATAAAAAGAGAAGCAAGATTTCCATGGGCAGAAAGTGAAAATGTAAGGGTCATCACTGAGAAAGTATAAGGTAAATGATAGAAGGGAAGTGTTCTCTGACGACTGGAGAATGAGATGATGGGGGTGGGGGGTGGGGTGAGCAGGGATAGAAAAAAGGCAAAAATGTACACAAGAGCCCCAGACGGACCATACAAACAGAGAAACTCACCATCTGCAGAGCTGGGTTCTCAAGCTTTGCAACCTATAAACTATAGCACCTTAGATAAGCTGCTTAATCTCTCAAAGCTCAGCTTCTTGTCTATAAGTTAGGAATAGTAAGAGTACAAGCTTTTATTTTTTTTGGTGCACCACATGGCATGCAGGATCTCAGTTCCCAGGGATCGGACCTGTGCCTCTTGCAGAGGAAGCATGGATTCTTAACCATCGGACCTGCAGGGAAGTCCCCATGAGTACTAGCTTTAAGTGGTTCTCGTCAAAATTAAATTATGTGATGACTATAAAACACTCAGCACTGTGATCAAATAAACACTAGTGGTTCATATTATTCTATATCCAAAGTGGGAGAGACAAGGGGTGCCAGAGCAAGGCACGAACATGATCAATTTTAAAGGATAATGCAGACAGCACTGAGTAGCTGGGACTGGAACAGGAAGAGACAGAGCAAGCTCCTAAAGAAGGCAGAAGCTATGGGGCAGGAGAGAGGTATCAGGGTCTGGATTATATAGAAGACAGGAAGCAAGACAAGAAACACTTCCCCCTAGAAATTACGTTTGGTAAATTATATGGATCACTAATACTGTTTTGACCAAACCAGAAGTCCCCACAACTAAACATATCAATGAGAGAAGAAAACATAAAAAATTAATCACTTAGCAAAATTACGAGTATTAGGAATATTTATTTAAGATATACATTGCGTACCAATCTAGAAAGCCATCAGTGACGATAAAGAACAAAGTAACTTTCTGGACTAGCAAATGTTTACATACTATATTCATCTATATGGTTGAGAAATTACAGAATTCTCCAAGGGAAAGGAAATGTAATAACAAGTCTGTGAAAAAGAGTTTTTTGCTATTCATGATTATATGGTGTGTTTGGTAAGACATTTAGGAATTCTCTGAAAACAAGGGTCCTCACAAAATGAAGTAACAGAAACTGTGGCCTGAAAAAAAGAGCCAGAGAGAATATTAAATATTGCCACTGAGTATCAGGTAACAGTGTTGCCCACCATTAAAAATATTATGAATCTTGAGGAATGAGTATTTCAAAGATAAACACTTAAAAAGTAGAAACAAAGAAATACTAGTGGTTCATATTATTCTATATCCAAAGTGGGAGAGACAAGGGGTGCCAGAGCAAGGCACGAACATGATCAATTTTAAAGGATAATGCAGACAGCACTGAGTAGCTGGGACTGGAACAGGAAGAGACAGAGCAAGCTCCTAAAGAAGGCAGAAGCTATGGGGCAGGAGAGAGGTATCAGGGTCTGGATTATATAGAAGACAGGAAGCAAGACAAGAAACACTTCCCCCTAGAAATTACGTTTGGTAAATTATATGGATCACTAATACTGTTTTGACCAAACCAGAAGTCCCCACAACTAAACATATCAATGAGAGAAGAAAACATAAAAAATTAATCACTTAGCAAAATTACGAGTATTAGGAATATTTATTTAAGATATACATTGCGTACCAATCTAGAAAGCCATCAGTGACGATAAAGAACAAAGTAACTTTCTGGACTAGCAAATGTTTACATACTATATTCATCTATATGGTTGAGAAATTACAGAATTCTCCAAGGGAAAGGAAATGTAATAACAAGTCTGTGAAAAAGAGTTTTTTGCTATTCATGATTATATGGTGTGTTTGGTAAGACATTTAGGAATTCTCTGAAAACAAGGGTCCTCACAAAATGAAGTAACAGAAACTGTGGCCTGAAAAAAAGAGCCAGAGAGAATATTAAATATTGCCACTGAGTATCAGGTAACAGTGTTGCCCACCATTAAAAATATTATGAATCTTGAGGAATGAGTATTTCAAAGATAAACACTTAAAAAGTAGAAACAAAGAAACCATAAACACTCACTTAAAAAAATCTAAACAATTGTAAGGAAAAACTCCATGAAAAACAAACAAACACTCTGTTAATAAGCTTTGAATATATAGAAATATATTGTTGATGATTTTTAAATATTCAGAAATTGATTTTCAACCAGGAATGAATTCATAACATTATGTCTCACCTTTGGTCACAAAGTGGAATCATCTGTGGAGCTTAAAACCATGTCTGCTATTTTCACCCTAAGCATCTTTATCATTGACTTCTTTGCAGCAAGAATTTCTGCCACACAACTTACTGCCCATAAGGCAATTTTGCCATCAAAGATAAAGTAACTGGTTGACAGTCTGCTTTCAAAGTATATTACCATTTCTTCTAGTTGGCAACATTATCAATGGCTTTACTGAGCTGACAAATGAAGCAGACGCTTTACCGTCTGAGCCACCAAGGAAGTCCTGACAAATGAGGATGATTTGCCCCCAAAATGATCTGGCTTCTTATTTTGGAATATACTACACATCAGAAGAGAAAGAGGCTGAGGGCCTTAAAGGGGCAGAACTCATCCCACATTTCTCATAGAACTTTGGAATGTTTACCAACAGACATGTGACAGAAACAACAATGTAGAAGAAAGCTTTCACAACACAATACAAAGCTTGGTTACAAACATGCATCCCAGTATTTGGAAACTGACACTTCTCTTAATGAAGGAAGAAATTTTAGTGAAAAAGACTAAGTGCAACGTGGAACGAGAAGAAAACAGAATAAGTAAAAAA